AGGAATCCAGGCAGCTTTTCATCCAGGAATCCAGGCACCTTTCCAGGCTGGAATGCACCAAGCTGTTTTAGACAGCCAACCAACCCTTTGTATAGCCATTTTAGTTCTATAAATAGGCTTTGTTTTCATTCTTTGTAAGGCATCAGATATTGAATAAACACAACAGAAAATTGGCACTTGCCTCCCAAATTCGAGTCTCTTTATTTCAAAGCTTTCTTGCTTGTTTCGTGTGATTGCCATCGCTTTAGCACGATTGTGCTAATTATTGTCTAAGGGCTGAAGCTAGGTAGCAGTCAGGCTTATGCCCTCGCCGAACCTTCAGAAAAACGGTTCCGTGACATTAAGCACCTATTAACTTGAAGAATTAACCCAAATACCTTCTCACCCAATAACTTAAACTAAAAATAGTCGATGGAGGTATAATATATGCATAATTTATGTATTGTATGTGTATAATTATGTATAATTAATGTATAATCTATGTATATGGCTAGAATAAGTAAATAATTAATATGGCCGGCTATTTGCGTAAAGATCCGTATTAACTTTCACCATATTTGGCAAATTTGCATAGACAATTATAAAAATATTTAGATAAATATTGAATGAGCACCCACAGTTAAACTCAATTTTTCTCTTCTTTTTTATTTTTTTTCGACGAGCACCCATGACATAAAATCCTGAATCCGTTACTATGAGATGAACTACAATCATATATATTTAAGGTTTGATTTAGACCATAAATTTTAAAAATATTTTTCTTTCTTAAAATCCGTAGCTAATCATATAAATTGAGAAGGAAAAGAATAATATATATGTGCAAGTCCTTAAATTGGAACAATACCTCCTCTCAAGACGATTTCTCCGATTGCTATGCCATTTCTCTCTATGCTAATTCCAGTTTCAAAGTCGACTACATCAACCTCTGTAAATCCTACCATTCTCACACCTTGTCTTGATTTAAGCTGTGCTCTTTCGGACTGTGGCAAATGATTCCATTCTTGTTTCCATGCACATGTAACTGCAGGTCCTCCTGTTTCTGTCAATCCATAACCATGGCTTATTACAAAGCCTAAAGATTCCGTTCTGTCGAGGACGGCGGGCGGCGGTGGCGCTCCGGCGGTGTATATGTGAACAGGAGAATCAAGGGGTTGCTTTTTTGGATAGGTAGATAGCATATTTAGTACTACTGGTGCACCGCACATGTGTGTTACCTGTTGCGACAGACAGAATTAAAGAGAGCACTAGTGATTAATACTCTATCTAATCATATAAAGTTGTCATGTTAACTTTTCACCCACTCTTTAACAAAACATTAATAATCGTCGTTTTGTTGAAAGGATATAATAAATCCCATATAAAATGCAAAATTATTTTATACGTTTAATAGAGTTTTTGATTCCGAATTAGTAGTTTCGAGATTATTTATAATATAATTGTGCTATTATTTTCATACAACACTCAATATGTAATAACAGTTTCGGGATCACTAATTCCAATATAAAACAACAAAATGACAAAGATTTCAATGACAAAGATGTCCTCCTCCAAAAGCTTCTTCTAAAGTCCTTAAAGAACGTCAAGATAATTAAAATTGAAAATAAAGATCCAAATTTATGTAGCGTAAAACCAAACACATGTAAAATATTATATCCAGAATATTCAATTTTTAGTCCATCAAAACTCTATCAATAAAAGCAACCCACTAAATAATTTTGTCATTATTTAATTTAAGTATTATAATTTTGGAATTATAATTGTGGTTTGATCACAAACCAAACAATCTCTAGAAGTTATTTGACTACTTTACCTATATCTCTTCATTGATCTTTACTACATTGACCTTCCAATAAATGCTAACTCTATTAATGATCATTAATAATCATTAATTCTTTATTATTTTCTAAAATGACAGGTATTCTGGAACTATTTTTGGCTAACATGATAGGAAGACGTATTGTATTCTCTTGAACAATTTAAGCTTGTAGATATTTCTCAATACCGGGTAGGAATTTTGAGTTCGGGTCTCACCTCTACCAATAATCAAAATGAATTTTTATATGTGTGATTCATCCATAAGAAAAAAGAACCAGACATTCAGTGAAAAGACATGTTAAAGACATAATTAAGTAAATCGTGTTTTTTCTCGCACAACATAAACTTTTAGATATAATTAAATAACTAAAAGCGTGTTTTTCCTACCACAACATAAACTTTTAGATGAGACAACGTTACCTTATGTTGGTGAATAGCTTCATATATTGAAGAAGCATCATGACCTCGACGAAGACATACATTAGTTCCACCAACAGCAGCCATTCCCCAGCAAAATCCCCAACCATTAGCATGAAAAATTGGCAATGTCCACAAATACACGGGTTGTTTCGGAACACACCAATCAATTAATCCCATAATAGCCATTGTAAATGCACTTCTATGGCTATGAAGTACACCTTTTGGTGCATAAGTTGTACCAGAAGTGTAATTCAGTACTATTGGTTCCCACTCACTATCTGGTGTAATCAATTTGAAACTCAAATCGCCTTCTTTAATCATGTTCTCGTAGCTGTTAAGAAACTTATTATCGAAAAATGAGGAGCTTTTACTGTTCTGATCATCATCTTCAATAAGGACTAGTTTTGGAATTTGTACATTAGGTGGAAACATAGAAAGTGCTTCAACGACTAAAGAAGTTGCTTGAAAATCCACGAATATAAGTTTTGCTTCACTATGTTGAAGCAAAGCAGATAACGTACGTGGATCAAGTCGGAAATTTATGTTGTTGAGGATTGCTCCGGACATTGGTACAGCAAATTGAAGTTCGTACATGGCTGGAATATTAGGAGCTAAGACGGAAACAACGTCGCCTTTTTTAATACCAAGTGATGAAATGGAAGATGCTAATTTTAAGCACCGAGTATAAGTCTCAGACCATGTGTAAGTTATGTCATTGTACACAATTGATGTGCAATTTCCATATACAATAGAAGCTCTTTCCAAGAAATCTAAAGGTGAAAAAGGACATGAATTTGCAAGTCCCTTTGCTTTTTTCTTGGTCGCGCTTCCATTTTCTCGGAAAATTTCTGGACTGACAGGATTCAAGGCTAGTGAAGATCGGATTGAACTTTTTGTTAATTTCTTTACTTCAATACCATTTCTTGATTTAAGAAGTGGAATTTCCAATGGTTTGGAATATATGCCAAAGGAAACCAATTCACAAGCATTAAGACATGGATTTTGTGTTGTGCTTGGCCTTAATATAACCATAATGTGGTGTGTTTTTCTCTCTTTTTTTTTCTTTCTTTCTATGGGTTATATATGAAGTTTCAGCAACGATATATATGGTGCTATATATAGCAGAAGTTGGCCACTTATATATACCCAAAAAAAAAAATGGCCACTTGAGATATAGTAGAACTTGACAAGAAAGATAGAACAAGATTAAATGCTGAACGTACCACCTTTAATTTGTAGTTATTATCCGGTCCAATTATATCTTTGGATTTCTGCACACCCCTGATATTTTATACTTCATCCGTTTCACTTTATGTGAATCTATTTCCTTTTTGGTACGTTCCAAAAAGAATGACTTCTTTCTAAATTTGAAAATAATTTAGCTTAAACTTCCAATTTTACCCTTAATGAGAAGCTTTTATAACTATACAAATACTCTGAACCTCTTTTTGATTTGTTTAGAACCACAAATTCCAAAAATATTTATTTTTTCTTAAATTCGTGCCCAGTCAAAACGGAAGGAGTAGTAATTTTAATCATAAAAATTTTATCTGACACACCTTTATCTATTTTAATTATCTCATTTAGTAAACACTTCACTAATAGAGCCAGTAAGGATTAATTTCGAAAAAGTAATAACTGTTTATTTATTCTAAACGTCAAATATTTTATAATTGTATTTATTTATTACTTAGGGAAAAAATCTAAATTTGCACATATACTGTTCAAAATTATTCAATTTTACCATCATTAGACTTTTGGTGCATTCATACTTTTGCAGTTAAAGAAATTATCTCATTTTGTCCTTATTATTAAGGGAGCTCAAGCGTGACATGGGTACTTGGGTAGGCTTCACGTATCTAAATTCTTAGCGAAACAATATTCTTATTTACCCTTAGATTATTTATTGAAATTTTTAATATTATAACCTATTCAAATTTATCAATCAATATTAAAGGACAAAACGTCAGTCTAATACACAAAGTATCTCGCATTCACGCAAGATTCGGAGAAGAACTGCATCCTAAGAGAAGTGATATAGACAGTGTATCCTAATACAAATATTATTGAATACGAATTAAATATCCTATTGTTTAAATATTATATTATATATATATATATATATATATCTTAAACTCTTTAAAAACAATCAATCCTAATCAATGTAGAGGTGGATAAGAGTGCTGTATCTATGACAGGTAGGTTAATTTATTATAGAAATGAATGCTACAACGAATACCGGTACGTAGTTTGGTCAATGGCGCAATAGAAGTTCCATGATCCAAGTAGGTGGCTGCAATTAACAGCAATTTGTAGCAGGAAAGTGTACCTCCAATTTCTGCAGACATTGAAAATTGCTGCCAAATTTTCTTTGATGATTCTAAAAAGTTACTTTGAATGTACGTAGATGTAGTTACAGAGCTAGAGTATGATTTACGGGTTCAGGAGAATTTATTAGTTTTAATCAAGACTCTGTATTTGTATTAAAAATTTTACGCGATATATAGCAATAATAATAAATTAATTGTAATCTCACATAGTGGTGGAGGTAGAAGCATGAATGCGGATTCAGAGTTTTTGCTCAATCAGTATATTTGTGTTAAAATATTCATTGATATGTAAATATATTAAATTTAGAACCTAGTTAATAGCTCTTAAAAATATTTTTTTGAATTCCAGAACCTATAAAGTTGACATTCTGGCTCCGCCTCTAAAATTCCCACAAGTGAGTTTAGGGAGAGTAGTGTGTATGCAGACTTTATCCCTACCTTGAGATGATAAAAAAACTGATTCTGATAGACCCTCGACTCAAGAAAAGATGAAAAAAAAGTAGTAGCAATAAGTAGTAACACCAACAAGATAATAAGAAAGCCGAAACGAAAAAAATATCAGATAGTAATAGAAGTATAAGAATAAGAAAATATAAGACCAACATTAATACTATTGATATGATTAAGGAAAACGTTAGACTATCTACTAACTTAATTTTTTTAATTCATATATATTTATGAATAATTTATTCAAAATCTAATAAATTACCTTTTTTTAGAATTTAGAACTCATAATTCAAAATCCTAGTTATGAGCCTTAATATTCCATTCTTCATATATAATCTATCTGTATCATAATGTATAATATAAATCTGATCTACAGTGTGATGATATGACATATCTCTTAAACCAGTTAGGCATTTATCAATTTTCTTTAATTGTTTGTGTTTGTTTTTTCTTTTGATGACTTATTATACCTCCGTTTCAGTTTATGTGAACCTATTTAGTATTAATATCAACCGACGTTTCTGGCCACTCTAAAAGTCTGAAATACAAGTTGAAGATTTCATAAAAAAGTACTCTATGAAACTAGTGGATATTAGATTGCTATCCCTCAAAATGCGCCAGTAAACACTTGAAACTATTAATGATCCATTATATTTGGATCAATCTAGTTGTGACACCTAATTTAACCCATAGGAAAACGACGATTTTTCGTGATAAAGGAAGACTTTTTTTATTTTTGATTAGCATTGCACATACATAGTCAAAATCAGGATTTGAAACTTATTGGTTTGAAAGATTAGTTTTTTAAGTTGTAAAATTCAAAACATATAATTTAAATGCATTTGTAAAGACAAATAGATGGATTGGACAAGCGATTGGGTTCAGTCAAACCCATAACCCATTACTCATATTGTAGCTTTGCCCTTGCGTATAGGGGCGTGACACCGCTTCGTTAAAAATTTTCGAAAATATATGTGTATAGATAATAATAAAAATAAAAATAAAAGGTATAAATATAAAAATGATAACGCTTGTAGTAATAATAATATATTTATTTATTCATCATTTTATATTTTGTACTGCTTGCAAAATATTTTGTATACGCTATTGCCTGTGTACATCAATATTATAAATGGAAAAATTGGGACGCCCAACTACAGACATGATGTTGAGAATATCACAAGTCAAAAGAGTGCTAATAACTTAAGGATCATTTGGAATAAGGGACGAGGATAATAATCTCGAGATATAATTTGATCTTATATTTATTCAATATTTAGTTATAGGTATTAACTAATTAACTTGAATTGCACGTCAGCAACAAAGACTTTTGGATCAATCACAATATTTTAAGTGACTCATACTCAAGAGGTATGTCCATGTATAAGAATGTAAAACAAAGAAAAAGAATTTGAATATTTACCCAAAAATGTTTAAAGATAATAAATTAAGTGCTCCAAAGATATTTTATAAATCTCTTTCAAATCTTTACATAATCTTTATGCCACTCAATCAAGAAACCTATATCGCTCTGTATATTTTAAAATGCTAGAGGAAAAGCAAGTACAAAAATCAACACTACCACTAGATTATCTTTCACAATAAAAAAATGGAGGGCTACTATTTAAAAGCATGCTAGTTTTAATTGCGCATTTGATTGAACATTGACAGGAGTAAAAGGAAAAATCCCATCACATTAACTACTAAGTAATCCCATCAAATTGACTACTAAGTACTTTCTTAGCTACTAAGTACTACATATTAGCAATAAAAAGCTAGTACGTGATTTGGTCTTAGGTAGCCCCACACATTTCATTCTTCTAATTTGGTTTTCAAAATTTTATAACAATCGGGTCATTATTTTATTGAAGTTAAAAAAGTGAGTATTTGAAGCTAGAGTAAAAAAAATATTTTAAAGTTGAAGTGGTTTTTGGATAGAATTTCACTTAGAAAAATGTTAAGGACCCATTTGTCCATAAATTTTCTTTTCCTTTTCTCCGGAATATTTTTCCACAAATATGTTTGTCCATAAAATTTTGCAAGTTTTTAGAAATTTTTCGAAAATGAGTTTTTCAAAATGTTCAGAAATATTTTCCCCACTCACAAAACTGCATCATTTATTCAATAGAAATGCATGTCCAAATATAATTTCAAATTCTAAATTCTATTTTTCAACTTAACTCCAAATACTACATTTTTTCAAAACTTATAATTTTATGCCCAACGCCTACTAAAAATTTGTGAATAAAAACCAATTTCATTTGAAATACTCTTTAAATGACAAATTGTTGATTTCACATATTGATTTTTAATTAAATAATATTTCAATATTTACAAATGTTATTAGGTTGAAGTATGTACAAATAAGAAGAAATAAATTGTTTGAGTGTTGTTAGTATTTATATTTATATTATATTAAAAGGATGACAAACAAACTTGATATTAAGTCAAGTGTTATATTGAGAACATGTCATTTGAAACTTTTAGGGGAAAATCTAAAAAGATTTAGACAAACCTAATAAAGATTAAGACATAGATTTTAATATAGATATCTGCAAATTTAGATTTTAAAAAGATTTTGGACAAATCTAATAAGGATTAAGACAACTAAGAAGATTTTGGAGATATTTTAAGAAAAAGTTTACTCTACTTCCTTTGAAATGGCTTATATTGAAATTCCCTATTAAAGAATCATTTGGATATTTGGATATCCAATTAAAGTGGGTTTAGAATTTAGTTTAATAATTAACCTTTTAATTTCAAAGGATAAAGAAAAACAATACGTGGATAGGGTCCTTTTAGGATAACACTAGAATATACCTAGATGATTTCACTTAGAATCATCATCCTTTCAACTTCACCATTTGAATGGGAGATAAACACTCTAGCCCTAACATCTTAAAATAATATTCTTATTGTTTATCATGAGGTTAAAGTGGATGATATGATAAAAGTAACTTGAGTTTGATTTGGTCCAAATAATACTTTTAACATTATCGACATAATCGTTTAGTGATATTATATTCTACATTGTCTATATTTATATTAGTAGATAAGGATAAATAGATCTTAGAATTTTATCTTTTTCAAATATACCTTATCTATATTTATATGTATAAAAAAAATATAGTTTGCATTAAAATTAAGCCAAGTGACAAGCTAATAAAAAGCTACTTGGCAATTTTAAGATAATATCTTTATGTTATGTAATAAAGATGAATTTGAATTAAAATATAAAGTTTTTGAATTTGGTTTGTATTATAAAAAAAAAACTTTGTTTTGAATTGAAAGATAAATAAAATTTTAAAAAACATAAATAATAGTGGTGAAGAATATTATTCTAAATAAA